TGTAAAAGGACTATGATGGAACGTAGTTCTTAATCAGAAAATACACGTCGTTTTTATATGTGTATATGTACTAACAGTGCACATGCACTTAAAGACAGGATGACAGGGACTGGTAATACTTTTTGTTAAATAACCCTCTCTACTATTACAACATGTAGGTCGAACTGTTTTCATAGGAAGAGATAACATAGCTTGCCCAAGATGTGGTTTGGGGCAGTTGTGTGGGTCTTTTTTCAACATTCAGACAGTGTTGAGTGAAGTCCAGTTGCACTGCATTGTGTGTCCTCTTCACTACTTCGTGTTCATACATAGATGTTTTGTTATCAACTGATGAGGTTGATCTGGGCTTCCCACGTGGTTCTTTTGTTTGTCCTCCTTGGGTGCCACATGTGTCCAAGTACCCCCTTTTACATCTGTGCAGCAGAAAAGAGAGATTATTCTGTCACTGGCTACATCTAAATCTACTGATATTCTTACCCATAGGGCTTTGCCTTGGGTATTCTAGGTATCTGTTTTCAAAGTTTAAAGAACTGCATTATTTTACCTTGAGAGTAGCATTTCTGTATCTACTGGGGAATTAGACCCTTGTGAATATATCTGTAATGAGAACTATAGCACTGTCTGGGGTTAGTTAGGTGCCAGGTACATTTGCAGAGATTCAAAGAAGAAGCATCATGTGATCTCCTTTCTACTCGATCAGCCTTTCTCAAAGCCCGTGTACTTTTAGGAGGAAGGTGAACTTGATGTAAGTTTGTAAGAAATATTTCATAAAGCTATAATTTGGTTTTGGTTGGTTTGTTTTGTTTTGTTTTTTTTTCTTTTAGGAGGCAGAGAATATGTATCATGCCAAAACTGCTTTGGTAAAGGGACATAATTTCCAAACAGCTTGATGATGAAGAAGGTGGCATATGACACATTATGCCTGTATTATTTTGTATCGTCAAGCCAGAAAAGTAGACATTCAGTGCATTTTCATACAACATAATGCTTAAGCAAGCGTAATGCTCAAGCCTTGTAGGCAAGGCCAAATGTAAAGAACTTTGAGAAGTGAAGGAGCTAAATCTGCCTCAGAAAGTCTTAGTGAGATGTAACATACATGTTGAACGAGCTAGCAGAGGGTGTAATATACATCAGTTTAGACTTCATTTCATCTCATTTGGACTCTCCATTGAATTTGGTCTTGTCTCAATAAAGTACTGTCTTTGCTGTGAAAGAATCAAAACAAGTCCATGAATGAAAGAAACCTTGACCCTACTGAAATCAGAGACAAAACTCTCATTGAGAGCCAGGATTTCATCTCACATGCTTAGAATTTTTCAGAGGCATTCAAGAATATTGCAAAGCCCCCATAAGATTTCCATGTAAAAAGAGCTCCAAAGTAATGTGTATCCTTCTGCTCACAGACCTTCCCATACAGAATCTACCCACCTTCATAACGAATTTGGGGCTTGGTTTTCACAGGTTCCTGCTTTCCCTCCCTAAGGCAGGTCTCTGAAATTAAACGCTCTCTGTGTGTGATGACTGTTTCCAGGGTTTTGTGGATGCAGCTGAAAGCTCTGCTCTGGAAAACAGCCGTGCTTTGGCTGTTTCATGACTTTCAGTTTCGTGCTGGACATAGGGGGCACACATCCGGACAAGATGATGAATGATGGCTTGACAAAACCCGAATAGGACTTAGGGTTTCAGGTGCTGTTGAGCTCTTTTTGCTATGTCTGTTCGGAAGTAGAGCAACTAAATTGCAAGTTAACAGAAGGCCCAGTGTTGGTTGCAAGTTGACAGAAGGCTCAGTGTTGGTTGCATATGGGTTTTTTTGGCCTGATTCTGTGAACTTAGCTTGTGAATCACCCGGTGAGCCCAGTGGTGAGTGCTTCAGAAGGCAGCAGGAGCCTGCGTTACTATGCTGTGTATAGGCAAGCAGTTATGTTCCTGACTCTAGGGGAACCTGCTTAATAAATCGAGCTGTAGAAAATGGGAAGTACCTGGTGAAGCAAACAGAATGAAAGAAAAAAAGCCTCTGAATTTCACTCCTGAGGCTGCTGTGCTCAAGTGATTGATTTTTGTATTAAACTTACTCCATTACCTCTTAACATCCCCCACTCACCTACACACATGCATGTTCAGCTTCATGCCAGGGGTGTGAGAACTAGTTTTTCCTACAGTGTTGGCGAACTGGAGTGCTCTTGTTGCTTTGTGGATCTAACACTAGTTATGGCCTATCTGAGATAGTAAGAGAGGCTTTCCTGTGCAGGCACAGCAAGGAACCCAAATTCAGAGGCTGCGCAGCCCTTACTTTTGTGTAAAGCTGCAAGCAGGCCGGCAGTAAGGCCCTGGGAGGCAGGTACAGGCAGGCTAGCAGCTCTGCTTTCCTGAGTGCATATGCATGTGCCACAGATGTTGGACTGCTTTCATAAATTGTGGGTGATTTTACAGCTGCCTCTGAAGCACTTAAGCCTCATTATGAGAGTGGGCTCCTCAGGGATGATCTAATGAGAATCTAAGTAGATGTGCCATTCCCTCCTGCAGTGGTTGGAGGTAATGAGACTGCCATCCTGGAAAGGGTAAAGGAGAGTCGTTTGTCGGTACTGGTAGGAGTCATTAGGAAGAGAGAGACTGCACAGGAGCCCCAGGAAATACAAGCCGACAGAGACATCTGTGAAGCAACACGTGCAGGATGATACCACACAAATTGCCTGCCTGGTACTGTGTGCATTATGCAACATCACCAGTCCTCTCTAAACAAATTACCTGTGTACCAGGTACGGTATTAGCCAGCATACGTTTATGGATGTGAGCATACTTAGTTGTGTCTAGTTGAGATAAAGAGGGGGGTCTTTATTTGTAGTGTTAGTGATAGAGGCCTTGTAAATTGGACATGCCTGCATTTTGACTACCAATTCCCAACAGGTAAAATGTACTTGTGACTTGCTGTGTGACAAGTCCACAGGTCAATAAATCCCTTTTGGTTCTTCTCTTTCATTGAATATACTAATTGCTAATGGAAGCAGTAAGGCAAAATGACATGTGTCTCTATGAAGGTTATAAATTTTAGAATTAACTATATTTTGAGGCCATCTCAATAATGATTTTTTTTTCCCTGTAAAACAATGATTTTGCTGAAAAGTAACTCATAATTTCTCAACAGAAACAAAAGACATAAGTAAAATCAGATTAACCAAGTTAGGTGTTTCACCATCAAAGGCTGGACAAGTAGAACACAGTATTGGAATTGCCAAGTATCGGACCATAGATTGAGATATGACAATATTGCTTTAACTGATCATTCATCCTGCTTTTCAGAGTTAGTAAACCTAGCGCTTACTGTTACCTGGCCAGAAGTCCAGCATTGCTGCACCCAAAATAGAAAACCACCATCACCTCATGTGGTTGAACGAACATCATGTCGTTTAGGGCTGAAATACTCAAGTGGTAAATACAGAATTTTGCACATGCATTCTTCTGGACAAATTTTTGCATGTATGTGATTTTTAAAACATGTATGTGCAGATGGATTAACTTGTATACGGTCAGAGGACTCTGTGGCATGTCTCAGTGATGTGTTGTAAAGAATGTTTTTTTCCTCCCTTTTGGTGCCTTTTAGATTGGCAGATGACTGTTCAAATAAAAGAGGAACTTTTGTGTAAAGTGTAAAGAAAATTTCCTTTTTCCTTTCCACCTCCCCACCCCCCAGCCCCACATATATAAATAAGTGCTGAGTCCAAGGTTTTGGGTCTTCTGACGGGACATAGGAAACCTGTAGCTGAAAGGAGGCCTGCAGTTTCTTTTTTGTTGTGGTTTATAGCCCTCCTGTACTTGTCCCTCTTCCTCTTTCTTTTTTTTTTTTTTCCTTTGTTAATGAGCATTTCGGGGTTTTTTAAGCCCTTGTGCATACCTGAAAAATGGCAGGGGTTTGATGCTCCGGTCCTTTCCACTGTTGTGGTCACCCACACCCATGTGAAATAAGCACCCGTGTGGACGGTTTTTGCTTGTGCCAGGTTGCCAGTGAAGAATGGCACAAAGTAAAAGGCAGCAACTTTCTTTTACAGTACACACAGAGTCATGTGTTTGGATATCTGGCTGTTAAGTCTTGATACTCAGGGATCAACTAGCATGGTTCTGCAACAGCCCTGTTGCCCTGACAGACACGGGAACTTTCAGGGCCGTTGGACTGCTGTGCTGGATTGTTAGGAGGCAAAGAAATAGTCCTGGTAAGAATAATCCTACAAATGGAACAAACTGTGTGTGCAAAATGGAACTTAAGGTTTTAGACATCAGATTCTGATTTGCTAAATCAGCAGTAGTGAAGTATTGTCACCAGAGCCAAATTTGGCATTGGTGGAGATTCGGGGTGGCACCGACAGTATGGGTGTAGCCACCAGGTGGGCTGCTTTACAAATTATTCTGCCATATCAAAAATTTCCTACCAGAGAGCTAAACCAATGAAAGAGTGTGTAAGGGACGGTTACGCCTTTTGGTATGGGCCAAGTGACCTAACAGCTATTTTCCATCTCTAGCTTCTGTATGCTTTTGGTTTAGGGAACTGTAGTAACTGCCAGCATCTGCTTCTATCTGCTTGGGAGTTGGTTTCATTTGGGGTTTGCCTATCAACTACTATGCTCTGTGTCTGTGACTTTTAACTCCAAGTACCAGTCTCCGTACTAAATCATTGCCAAGTAACCTTCCATTCTTCTTTTCCACGCTGCCATCTAATCACCAGCTACAAGCACAGAGCTCCTGCCTGCATGCCGTCAGAATGAGTCTGAGCTGCTCAAACCTCGACTCCAGCCTGAACATGAATTTTTGTCTCTGCAGGAATATCAGGGGGAAAAAAAAAAGTCACCAGGGCTACCAGTTCTCGTTATTGTTTGTATTTATATTTTTGGTTCAACTTCTTTTCTCCCTGGAGGTTTTGATTCCACCAGTTTTGTTTGGGTTTGATTGGGCTTGCTTTTTTTTATTGCTCTCCCTCTTCTCATTTTGTTTTCTCCATTCTTTCATTGGAGGCAATGAGCCGTCCAGCGGTCGGAACTCCCCTGTCCCCTATCGGCCCGACAGCCGCCCTCTCACTCCAACTTACGCTCAGGCCCCTAAACATTTCCATGTTCCAGGTAGGAGCTGGCACTATATGTGTCTCGGTGTCCTGTCACAGTGTAGAATGTAGCCTTTGTAACTTTTGTCTTGTCTCCATCGTTTCACGCTGTTTACCATGGGGTGCACCCTCAGGGTTTGGAACTGCTCCCGGGCTTGCTGAAAGGAGTGCATTAAGAAATGGGAGGGGTTCATTGTGATTTTTACACATTCTGTTGGTCAGGTGTTTCACTGTCAGAATACCTTGGTTTTCAGGGTCTGTTGATGGCCTGTGAGCTGGTTGTGAGCTATGTAGGACTTGATTTTTCTTCTAGTTGGACCAGTTGAGCTCTGGTGTAACTCTGCTAACTTTGGAGGAGTTGGGTTTGAGTCACATGCAGAAAAGAGTTGACCAGTGAGCCATTACATATGTTCATTCAGATTGTTGTGACTTGTTTCAGTCTTGAACCCAACAGTTCTAGTTTAGTGTTGCCATGGTTTTTTAAAGCAGGGGAGGACGTTTGTTTACTTGTTTTGTGCAATGGCTTGGTGTCCTCAGACCTGCAGATCCACAAGGATATGTATGCCTTAGGATGTCCTCTTTATAAAGGGCTGTCTCTGTTTTTTGAAGTGAGCTGCACAGTTCTTCCAGCCTCTGAGAAGATCAGCTGTCTTGGACTTTGATGGGATGAGGGTGTATGTCCCTAGGTTTGTGGACATGCATCTTCTGACTGCATTAGTGCTAGGTATAAGCCTTATTATGTGCAGTTATTCTTCAGGTCCCCTTCAGTCGAGTATCCCTTCACACTGCCAGAGGTTACTGCTCTTCCTCCTTTCCTCAGATCTGGCAGATAAACTGTTGGTGGGAACTCCCCTTTCAGTCAGTGTGACCTGGCTTGGCTAAGGTAGGCTGTTCTAACTGCTTAAGCTAACCTGGCTCACTTTGACTTGCGTAAGCTGAAGTGCACTGGCATGAATAGCCGAGAGTAATAATCTCTAGCATGGTGGGAGAGCTGTCCTCTTCAGCTGGCACAGGGCAGCCACAGAAGGAGCTGTGTTCCTGTCCTCCTTACAGCTTTCTGGTATAGACGTGCGCAAAAGTACTGCATGACTGCCCTGGTAATGTTTATACCCATTTGCTGATCAAGTACCCATAACAGATCACTAACAAGAATGAAATACCTCAGTGTCTTTGTGTGCAATGAATTTGCCTGTTTAGTCAAGGATGTAGGATTCTGCAGAGTAAGATTTGCCTCTGTTTCAATAGATTTTTAGGGTTAGCTTTCCTTAATGCCAAAGGCTAAGTTGTCTCCTGTAGCACTTTAATTGCATCTGCGATATACAGCATGTATCTCCAAAATGCTTTTTCACCTTTCGTTCTAATGTAACTGAAGACTTTTTTCCAGGCAGTATGAAGTAGCAAAATGAGTTTCTGACATTAATTTTCTGGTTACCAGTAGCTCCTTTTGATCTTCTAATAAGATTTTGACAGATTTTTGCACTGTAGCATTGATTTTGGATTAATTTTTGTGTTTGTAGCTGTGCCGAATACGTGAAGTGTTGGCTTGGGTGGGAAGGTAGTTTAGAGCAAACTGGTTCCTGTCTTAGTTTATTATTTGTAAAAATATGATATCTTTTAGACATGCTGTAGATTTGCATTGATAATGTGCAATGTGACGGGTCTTACATAAAAAAAGTACAAGAAAGAAATAAAAGCTAACTTTGTGGTTTGAGAATTAGTAGTATATCAGTTAACAGTGCATGAAGCATCCCTTTGACTCACTGAAGTGTAGCTGTTGTTGACTGTTCAAAATGGTGTATTAGGCAGCTATTTTTTTCTCTGGATTTTGAAGTGAATTGTAGGCTCACTGCATTCTCCTCTGCTCAATCCAGCCAGTCAGTTGGAAAGAAAATTGAGCTGTTATGACTGAAGCACAATTTTCCACAAAAGTTATTTGGGATAGTTTTCCCCAAATGGCTTGTATCTTCGCCATTGAAATGTCTTGCTTGTTTGCATTTCTTCTCTAACTTTTATCCCACTGATATTAATCTTCTGAATGTTTAAAATTAATGGTTCATGACTTGGATGCATCCACATGTTACGGAATCAGCTCCAAAGGACTTCATACCACATGTCTTTGACTTTTCACTTGTTCTTATGTTTTCTTTTCTTTAAACAGTCTAATTTTGTATAATTCTAGAAATAGTTTTCTGGCTTTTTCTTGTGCTACATCCTTGATTTGGTCTGTCTATTGTTTTAGTGTCGGCGTTATCTTTATCTACAACTGAAGTAGTTTTCATATTCCCATTTTTCTGTTTCTCAATTTCACAGATCAAGGTGTCAACATTTACAGAAAACCACCCATCTACAAACAACATGGTAAATGATCTTTCCCTTTTTATTTCAAAACTGGAGTGTCAGCTAAATTACAAGGCATGCAGACTAGTGGCAAGCATTCAGTTTTTACTTCGTAAGCATAAAAAATTCGTAGTCCAAGCTTGAAACAGCTGTTATTGCATGTCCTGCTGAGTGTTTATGTTTTAATGCATGTTGCTTCATTTGGATCTTACGGTTTAAATCTGAGCCACGTTGATATTAATGGCAAAATTGCTATTAACTGGGATTTTGCTGTCTCTTTAGCATTATGATGTCTTCCTGTATTTCACTTCTTTAAGTTTACATTTTCAGCATACAGACACTGATCATGTTAAATTGAATTAACAACAGACTGTCCTCTGACAGGGACTTCATGGAGTATCCTTAACTTAAGCAGACAAAGTACATTGATTTATTTCAACAGCAAAGATGGACATGTCATTATCAGACTGGAATTCCAAATATACCTGTGGCTTTAAATGGGAATCTTTAATTATTGGAGAAAATATAGGTGACTTATCAATGACAGGGCGAATTTGATTCTCAAGCCCCGTGATACGGCTCAGGTGGTATGCTGTACTTGTTTTTCCAGGTGTTTGGATTCTGAGTTGGACAGCAGGGTTAGTGGTTGAACCTTTTCAGTGTAGATGTTATAGCAAGTCTGAAATAAGAATGATGGCAGAAGTCCCCTGCCTTGCCAGTCTTCAGTACTGCAGAGCAAGGTCCTGGGTATAATGGTGTGTGTTCACTCTTCCCTTCTGCTGTGAACAGAAAACTTTGAATAGGAGGTGGTTTTTATGTAACCTGGTGAAAGATGGATAACTCCACTTTTTAAAGACTTTGAGTTTGCATCCCTTTGCAGACCCATCATCCAATGAAACGTATTTAGGGTTAAGTAGCAAATTAGCAGTACTACAGGGTTTAGGTGGACAGTTGGCTGAGAGCTGTTGAGCTGAGATGATTAGGAAAGCCTGGGAAGTCCATTCTGTAGTCAGGAGCGAGCATTGCAAATAACACTACTGGGTATTACATCGAGGTTTCTTCCTCTTTCTTTTTTAAGTTTCAAACCATGTGCTTATTTTGGAAAAAGTCTTAACATTGTTTTTGTTTATTTTTATGGTTTTAATGTATCTCCTCACCTCCCATTAACATGTGAATGTTTAACCACTGACATCACCAATTTTAATACGTAAGTACTGTTTGAAGTCATGCTTTTGTAAACTCTGACCAGCTTCCTCCATACCTGCAATTATGCTTAGAGTTTCCCAGTCATAAAATGCTCAGAATTCCTAATGATATCTAATACTGATGTTCCTAAACTACCCTGAACATGTTGGATGAGCAACATGGTGCTTCATTTCATTAACATGTGTCTTCCTGTTTAAAAAAAAAAAAAAAAAAAAAAAAGGAAAAAAAAGTCCAGAATCCTTGCTTCAGATATGATGGCTTCATATACGAGAAGGTGATTTGAGCTACCAGTTTGCAGATAAGAGGTAGTTAAGGCTGGTTTTAATGCAGACTGAATCCTACTGGATTTTTTTTTTCTATGTCAAGAAGTGAAAGCCATAATGCACATCCCCACATGCTTTTAAGAGACTTTGGCTTAGACTGGAATCAGAAGTGGATGTCCCACTGATGAGATATTTTATTGCTAAGGTTCATTCAAATGCAAGTGCCTTTTCCTGCCAAGTTGATCTGAATGGAGTTTAGTATTTATTAATAAATTCACATCTGCTTTTAGTACTGCTGCATGCTAATAGGCAAGGGCATGCAACAGAAGAAATCCACTGGTTAAATAAAGGTATTTGTTTCAGATTTCTTTTTTTGTTTGTTTTGCAGCTTTTCACAGAAGCACAGGAAATAATAAGCATCAGTAGAGTTAAAATTAGTGCTGTTAATGTGAACTGTTTGTTTTCTTGGCCTAGAGGGAAGACAGATCAGTGCATAAATCTGATTTCATCTTCATTAATAATCAGCTGTCCCTAGGAGATATTGGCAAATACTGTTAGATTGAATTTTCTCACTCTTGCCTAATCATTCTAATGCTGTGCAACCCTAGTAAAATCCTAAGCTGATTTGGGGTTATTTTGGGGGTGGGGGTGAAGGAGGAGAGGAAGGTTTGATTCCAAGCTGTTGGCAAGAGAAAGACATTACGTTGCTTCAAATGGCAATTAGAAAAGCAAAATATGAAAATGTTTGCTTTTGAAAATTAACTTCTCGTAAAGTATAAAATTTTGCCAAAATAAGGAGAACCTTGTATTGATATAGATTATTACATAGCTAAGTTCCCTGATTGCCATCTAGATGCAGCTGCTTTGGCAGCACAGAGCAAGTCCTCCGAGGATATCATCAAGTCCTCCAAGTTCCCAGCAGCTCATGCACCAGCACCCAACGAGATACCAAAGATTGAGACAGACCACTGGCCAGGTCCTCCCTCCCTTGCGGCCATAGGTATGCAAAAACAAAATGATACAAGCAATGCGGCTTTAAAAGGTACTGGTAACCAAAGTAGATTTTTACTGGAGCTGTGGAAATGGGTAGTGAAGATTGTGTCCACTCCAGGTGTTCACCACAAAGTGCAGTTCTTCTGGTGCAACCTCCGAGTGTCTGTGAATTTAAAACTATTGAATAGCGCTGATAAGAAGAGGTTTTGTTGAAGGACTTTGGAATTGATCACACAGGTATTAACCCATAGATAAATTATGTGAACTCCCATGCAGTAGCTTAAAAAATGTGGTGTGTCACACAAGCCTGACTTCTTTCAGTTATTGTCTATTTACTCTTTTGGTCCTAAGCTAATAGCAAATATCCCACAGCAAACATGATTGCTTCCAACCACATGTCTAATTTCGTGGCAAGAAACAATGACTGAAGTGGAACAATTAATGGACTAAATAAGTCCTGATTTTCAGAGTTACTGTTTCTACAGACTTTGTATTTTTCTTCTGTGTTGTAGCACTACAGATATCTCATTTTCTTTTCTTTAAATCATGTGTGTCATCATTTTAAATTTTTTTTTTGTTTTTGTATTTTTTTCCCTGTTGATTTTTATTGACCCCTATAGCATAAAATAAGCTATCTAGCCTGGTTCATTTATGAAGTCACGTCTGAAACCTGAAGGCATTGCCTGTTTCAGGCTTCTTTCTGTGAAGGAGGGTACAGTTTTCATCGCAGTGCAATTTTCATAGAAGTGCTGAGGGAGGAGACACAGGGCAGGAGAGCTCAGTGAAGGGGCTGCATCTGCAGCAGCAAGTTTTTTAAGATGTCCTTTATATAGGATTGCAACCTGACAGACATTACAGTCACAGTGATAACATCTACGTGCTTGAAATTCTCTTGACAATGCTTATGATAACTACAGCGTTATTGCATCGTGTATATGAGGTGGAGCCTTTGTTGGAAATTTTGGCTCTCGGCTCGGTATCTAGGCAGTAGATGACAACTTCTAATTTCCAGTGAAACTGCTTTGTATATTGGCTATCACGTGATTTTGTTACACCTGAGAAACTAAACAGGACTGTTTGGAAACTATAAAGATAAAAATGCACTCATGGACATATTTTATTCAGAAATAAGAAGGCATCATACAAGATTAAGCACTAAAAAACAAAGCCACAAGCCCCAGGTTTTTCCTCTTGTCTGATTTTCTGAGTGTGATATTTTTCTTACAGAGCTAGAATGAGCTCAAAAAAAGGAGTGTTACTGCTGTTGTACTAAGACGTCTTGCAAAAGCCTGAGACACCAAACAAAATAATAAGTAATTTAAATACAAACAAATAATTTATCCGCAACTCTTTGTCTCTCTCTATATCATCATCAATTTAACACTGCTGCACAAAACATTTAATTGTTATAAACCTTCTGATACTTTAGTTGCAAAATTTAGTTTTCATTCAAATTAAACACTGAGTTTGTTTAGCATAGGGTTGGTGAATAACTGTATCAGGATATAGCCTGTGCAGAAAAAAATACAACTGTTGTCTAAATGCTTGCAGCAGTATCATGTGTATTCATGGAAGTGTTCTGGTGTCCAGATTGGACTATTTCTTAAGAATATGCACGAAAATAAAGATTATGAAATAAAAAGTAAGGAACTAAAATGTAGAACACCTGTGGCTTAATTAATTTTAACTTTATCTAATGGATCAAATTAGTTTGCTTCATTTTAGACTAAGAATAATGCCTTGTTTATTCCAAATATGAGTGTCCATGTAGGAGATTAACGTAGTTTAATTTTCCATTTGAAATGTTATTTCAGATTTGCTCTTCTGAGTCTAGATAAAAGTATAAATGTAAATCAGACTTTATGTTTTCAGCCACCAGTACAGGTACTGGTGCCATTAAACCCCGTGTTTCCAGAACTAGCAATCTGAGCTCCTTTTTCTGTTACGTTGATTCCTGGCTTTTGTACCCGGGTCTGTTCCTTGGTTTGGAACTCACATGCAGTTTAACTTCGTGTTAATTTTATAAGCCTGATAGCCATAGGGCAGGCTATCTTGAGTGAGTTTATTAAGAGTGAGTTTTGAAAAAGTCTTTTGAGTCTGCACGAAAATACTGCATTGTTTATTCAGTAAATCAAACTGACCAGTACTTTGAACAAGCATTGAAAAATTCAAACTGCGGTTGAACTGACACACAAAGCTCTCTCTGTGCTGTGGTTTTGTGGAAGCAGGAGCTGACATGAGACGCAGATCAAGTGGAAGAGAGGAAGATGATGAGGAGCTACAGAGACGCCGGCAGCTGCAGGAGGAGCAGCTCATGAAGGTGGTTATAAGCTTGTCTTCATGCTGTTTCTGAACACCATCCGAAAAGTGCCCCTTTGTTTTCTATAAGCAATTCCTACTAATGCCTCAATCAGCTTTATTTTATTGATCTATTTTTTTAATTGCCATTTATAGCTCAACTCTGGTCTGGGACAATTGATATTGAAAGAAGAGATGGAAAAGGAGAGTCGCGATAGGTCAGCCCTTTCTGCCAGTCGTTACGATTCTCCAGGTAATTCATGTAGGCAATAAAGGTGATAATGAACAGTGAATAATGAACACCACATATACACACATCAAGTGTCTCCCAGAAGAGAGACCCCTGGGAAGACCACTTAATATGTATGTACGTGGTGTTCTCTTCTGAAAGGATGGCCTAATTCATTAGCTGGTTTTGGTGAGGGGACTAATGTGGTTGGTTTTTAATCAGAAGAAATATGAAGATGAGGATTTTCAGGCAATTTTGAGGAGACAGATTTTCGAATGTACATAAGGAGTGAGGTAAAGTATTCAGTGACTATCATCACACACATGGTAACAGGCTGGGTTATTAAATTACAATAACACATTTTGCTTAAACTCGTGGTTCCTATCATTATTTAGTCTCTCCTCCCAGGGACAGAAGATCAGCAACATTTACCAGTGGGGCTGCATATTCCAAGCACAGCCAGTGTTTTGAACTTGGCTAACATTTTGATTGGGTGTATTCTGTTCCAGAGAAAAAAGCATAAAAGTCAGCTTTGGTTAATTGGTGGCTTAGATTCTTGGCCTTATTGCACATTTTGATATACATCTGTGGCCTGCTCCGATCTCCAGAGAAGGGTTTGGGGTTTTATTTCACTCTCTTCATCCACCAGTCATTGTAGCACAGCAGCTGTACTTCAAGCCAAGAAAGGACAAGATGAGTCTCTTTGGAGTCATCCACTGGAGTAGTTGCCAAGCAAACTTAAGATTTCCTTATGTTCCCTGTTGTATACGTGTACTGCCACTATTTATGGTCTTGGAGAGGATGTCTGTGGCTCTCCCTCCCTATCTGTAATTTTTACAGGGCCAGAGTCTACCTGCTCAACACAGAGCTTATGATTTTGTTATTAACATTAGCACATTAGGTTGGAGGACTGCTTTGTTGGAGGTGTGTCCGTCCCTCTTTGCAGCGATAATCAGTGCAGTCACCAGTTGCCTTTTGTGGAATCAGTGGTACCTTTCCCAAAGCTGCTTACTGCTGGCAACAACAGTACCTCAAGTCCTACATTCCCTCACCTTCTGTGGTAAAAAAAACACATAAAAAACCCAAAAATTGCATTCTTATATGGAGGGTCTTGTCTGAAGGAGCTGTAGTAACTGTAGAGGTGCTATTGATTATTATGCTGACAATCTTGCTATTTATCCATCTTTTTATCTGTATTTGAAAACACACCCCTGATATTTCCACATTGTCTTTATCTTGCTCGTGTAATTTCTGAGGTCAGTGCAAATGCTGAGTTGAATGCCTTGGATACTTTATTTCACTTTCATTTCAGATGAAAGCAGGAGTCACAGAGCTCTGTTGAATCATGTCATGTTCTCCGAAGTGTCACATCATGTACAGGATAACTATAATTTCGGATCAGAATGCCACACGCTCAAACTTGTTTGAATTCACTCAGCACTGCCCATTCTGATAGTTCTCCTGCTGAAGTCAGTACCAAAACATCTGTCAATTACAGTGTTACAGGACCAAAACTAATAGCCTTTTCCCCTTTGTAGCAAAAAAATGGCAAGCTGAAGCATGTGAGTAAGGAGAGAACGGATTGTGCTAGTCAGATGTATCTTGCCTTAGCAAGATCCCAGCAGAAGTAGTTGTAAATTTAATAGTGCAGCAGTAGGTGCAGTAAGAAGGATAGAAAGGCAATTCATGAAAGGTTCAGAGTATAATGGTATATAGACCGTGTGTGCCACGAATGAGAGTGGAATTGAAGGACCTGCCTGGGAGACTTAACAGAGAACCTATCCAGTCAAATACTGCTGATCTCGGATTCTCCTTGTCCTTTATCTTGTTTCCATCATAAGATGCACAGCAATACTTTACCTAGCTAAGGACTAAAAGTTACTTTGCTCTGTGTTCCGATCCTTGAGCATTACTTTCAACTCAGTGGAGACCACTTTGATTTTGAGCCTGGCAAAATCACAGGGTCCCTTCTTGGTGACCTTCCACCACAGCATGATAAAGCGGCGTGTCACTTTGGATGTATGGATGTATGGAAGGTTGTGATAAGTTTGGGGCTGAGCTGTTAGTTTCTTAAAGTCAGCGTGTCTCAGTTGGTTATGTATATGCTTACCTCTTTTAACTGTGTTTTTTATGCTAGTTGATTCCTCAAATGTTCTTGGTTTTGAGTGTCCATGGGATTTTTCCAATAAAAGATTTTTCCCTTCCTCATTCAACAGCACATGCTTCAGCCTCCAAAACGTCTTCTCTCCCTGGCTATGGAAAAAATGGACTTCACAGGGTAAGGAGATGGTGCTTTTGAGAAGCGAAAGGTGGCTTTAATTATCCGTGGTACTTATTTTCGTATTAACTGTATTGGATTTTCAGTTTGATCAAGGTTTCTTATAAGGCCATCTGAAGTCAGACAAAACCTAATTTCCCTTCCCACAAACTACATTGTTAAAAAGGCAAGAAAGCAATGCAAGAAACGATGTGAAAATTGAGGGGGAAATAAAAAGCTTAAAGCAATTTGTTTCTCCCCGTGTACCAACCCACTTGTAAAGTCATCAACTGTGAGTTTATGTGCATGTCCCTCTTTTCCTGTTACAGCCGGTGTCTACAGATTTTGGTCAGTACAACAGTTATGGGGATGTGAGTGGTGGTGTCAGAGGTAAGGCTGAGGAGCTTTTTCACATGCCGCTTCACTGCTGAACATGTCATGATGTTTGACCATTTCTCCTTTCTTATTTTGAGGTTGTGGATGTGGTTACTTTGTATTTGCTCAGTACTTTTTAGCTTCCTGTGGTAAACTCAACAATTAACTCAAACTCTGCAAATACCTATTAAAAAGTTTGGGTTTAATTTTGCTAAACCTGCTTTGTGGAGCTGATCCTTGTTTATGCCAAGGGACTGATTTAGCATTGGTGCAAATGGAAAGCAAGTAGCATGTATGTTATCAGGAATATGTACTGAGTTCTGTTACAGTGTTTTCTTTCTCTAGAAATTACCATCCATTGCACAGTCTGAAAGAATGTGCCACAGTGAAGAAAGGAAGATAATGCCTTCTAATCCCCATTGCTGCTCTTGATTTTCGTTATGACTCTGAGCTAGATGTGATATCAGTCATTGCCTCATAAAAATTGACAATATTTATTAAAGTTATGAAACTTTGAGATGATGTTTTGAAATTGTTTGAGCTGAGAGAGAGACTACTTATCTCCAAAGTGAGATTGATCTGACTATCTTAGATACCCTATGATCAGGCATCTTCTGTTGGTGCTCGTGTCTCTTTAGAGATTGTGGAGAAATCTAGACAGCTACCTGATGGCAGAGGTTAAGTGAGGTGAATCCTGCTCTGCTCATTTGAATTTTATTTGGCTATTTATTCACTTGATTGTGGTTTTGTGTCTTTTAATATTTTCAAAGTGACTTGATTTTCCCGAATGAGAAGCCTGCTCAAAATGAAAAAGGCTGCAATAGTTGAATTACTTGAGTCTTTGCAAACTAAATCCAAAAGTAGGAAGGTTGCTGGCCATAGATAATCATGTGGGATTTTGGAAAGATCAGATAGACCAGAAGATTGTGATTGATTCCTGTTCTTCCACCTCTAAAGCTGATGACATTTCTCTTTTGCCTTTCAGATTTCCAGGTAGAGTACGGGTTTTCATCAATCAACTGACAACAGAACTAAAAGCTTCTACTTTCTTACTGAAGTCTGAATTTCTGCTACAGGGAAGGGTTTCTTAAGACAATAGCTTTGATTTTCCTGCATGTTTAAGCGTAATCACCAATGTAGATTCTTATCAGCAAAAAACAGGCGCAGCCTCAGATTCCTCCTTGTTACCTCCCCAGAGCTGGGTTGAGACAGCTCACACCAGTTCTGTGACTTGCTCTGTAAAATCCACTGTCTGTTGATACATGAGTTATCTGTAATAGTGCTCTCTGGACAGCTGAGGGTGGATTTATTTCCAGCCTCTCTAGTACCAACCCCAGAGACATAAAGTCTCTTCTGGAGGCAATTTTCTCCCATACCAGGAGTCTTGAACTCCTCATTTTTACCCTGGAATTTGCTCTCCAGACAAGATGGCTGATCAATAGTTTTCTGCAGTGCTGCCATCACAGATAAGCCAGTAAAAGGTGTGCTTGCAAATATAAACCCTTTTACTCCAAATCCTGCCTGCAGGGTTTTTTCCAGAATGGTTTGATTCTGGCTGGCTCCTCAGCACAATCACAGTATGAAATGGCAATTTAAGAAAGGGTTTAATTACTTGGATAATTTTGTTAATGGTGTACCAAAATCATGATGATTGGAAAGAGAATAAGATTATGGGAGAAGAGAGGAGTTGTCCATGTATTGTGCTGAAAGCGCTCTTTCCTTAGGAACAGTACCTGTGTCGAAACAGCACCTTTTTATCCTGTCCCTGTTTGTGTCCATAGTAAAAATTTGCCATTGTAGAGATAAGCAAAAAATCCCTCAGCTGATACAGTAAGTGAAAGGAAGGAAAACCCAGAGGTAGAAGAGTGCTCTGTATGCTGTGGGGTGGATCTGAATTAATGCTTCTGCATATTTGTCCAGAGAAGAACCCTACTTTGTCACTGGGGTGGGAAGGGGCCCGCCACTCTCTTGGGGTCCCCAGGTCCACCTGGGACGTGATGTTGGTAGTCTCAGTGGGGAGCCATCACCAGCCTTAGTAGTGACAGAAGGCTGTGGTGGCAGAGAGGATCAAAGGATCCTTCTGTGTACCTCAGAGAAGTAGTAAACAGTAGCCATGGCAATGATCTATACGATAAGACTAAATATTAAGACATGAAGGAAGTTCCAGGGCAAATTCACCTTTGTTTTCACCACTACTTGAGTGCCTTTACCCTCTGTGTGTGTAACCTATATGTCTGATGTATACCTGTATCTGATGCAGTCCCTTCCGGATGGTCATGTCCCTGGAATGAGAATGGACAGAGGAGTATCTATGCCTAACATGTTGGAGCCAAAGGCAAGTGCAGATGTTATTCACTTTCCTTCAAGACAGTGAAGATTTGACTGTGAAATGCAGATGAAATGTGGGAAATGTCTTAGCTCCCTTGTTTTTCTTTACCTCACCTCAGTCCCTGCTCCTTATGTGCCAAACCTCTCCCTTTGTGCTGGACTTCGCCCGTTACAGGTGTTAGTACTCAGGCAGGCTGAGGGCAGCCCAGGTGTGCTGCTTGGGTTAAAGAGGCTTTTCTAGAGACAAAGCAAAGATACTGAAGATGCTCAATAGCCAGTTCTCTGTCAAGCTTCCGCTAGCCAAAACAGCAGGCCAAACTCGGTCGGAAAGTCTCAGATCTGTCAGGCTGGAAATGCGATGCAGAATATTGTGGCTCACCACAGTGTTGAGGCTGTCTTAACTTAAAAATTAATGAAATACATGGGTCTTTGTTTCAAATCGGAAGTTAGATACCTAGAGGTCTGTCTGGATCTGTTCTTTAGCTCTCAGCACTGTTAGCCTGACACCTTTCAATATCAAATTCCCTATATAAGAAATTCTTCAGGAAATTTTTTGGAAAAAAGAGGCTATGTCTAGAGATGTATGAATCAAAAATGAAGATAATATATAGAAGAGATTCAACCAGGGCTGTGTTTTAAATCTCGTGTCTTTCTCTGTTGCTGGTGAACCTTCCAAGAAATCATGATTTTGCCAAAGTTCCAAGGATTAGCATTTCTGCTGTTAAGTGAGGAGCTCGTTTTGCAAACCAGTTTACTACTTGTGCTTCTGAGTCACTTCCAGACAAACTGTACAAGGCAATAACCCTAGCTTTATAAGCTGAAACCCCAGTGCAATGTATATTAACAAGTGTTTTTATATATTATATAAATAAGACCTTGGGGCCATCCCCAGCTTGGGGAGATACTACTTTTTATTCCAAATAATTTCTCTTTCAGTGCAATAGAAATTTGTACAGTCACCACTGCTGTTGATGCACCCAATGATTTGGAATGTTATTTTGGGCGACAAATTCTGTCGGTATTATTAGTGATAAAATTTATGGGAATTTTCATGAGATAATAGGTCACTTTCCACCGATGTTTATAAAAGGTGATGCCAGACCCTCAGCACGTGTGAATTGGCAGTATTTTTATTCATGTCAGTGGTCCAACACTAACGTAAACCTGATAAAGTACAAGAAACGAACTCAAAGTCAGCATGAAACACGTGAAAAGTGAAAATTAGTAAACTTAAGAATGACCAAACCTTACCAAATGGTTCTCCAGAAAGGACAGAATTTGTGCATCCTGCCATCCCAGATTGAGACACGCCTTGTTGTGAATATCTAAATATAAAATGTACTTATGACCATAGATCTTGACTTCAACTCTGCCTGTTTAAATATGAAAAGTTACATTTTAGTTTCCTATAATGCTGTATATGGTAGCTGTTTCCAGTATCAAACATAAACATTGTAATTCAAAGTATAGACTTAATTGTATAATTGTGACAATGTCAGAATCTCCTAAGAACCATATCTTACAATTGATATGTAAGCACACGTTATTTAAATTATTATTACTTACAATAAACTCAGTGGTGTGTTCATTGATGCCTGAATCTTATTTATTATATTTCTGAAAAGTTCATTGGGATAATTGTTGACAATGGAATGAGCTTAATTGCCTAGTACTGCAGGGAAGTTGATTAGGTTGAATTTCTTCTGATGTTAAAATAATTGAATTAATATCATTTGATAATAGCTCAGCTGTCTCTCCAGGAGAGTTTTGGTGGTCTCGCTCTTGTTCCCAGTGGGCAAGTAAAACAAGACCCATAAATAACAGTAAAGGCTGAGCCAGACGCCACTGAAGTCTGCAGAAAAACTTCATTCACTTCAGTAGAGGTGGGACAAGGACCTCACTGGGAATGCTACCTGCTCGGCAGAGATATGCAGTGAGAAAGGCTACAGAGAGCCTCTGTCAGATGGAACATGAGCTCTTCTAAGTCCTTCCAGGCATTTATGGAAGTGTCTGCCTAAGGACAAAAAAAGTCCTAAACCAGAGTTTTACTTGCCAGGGATTATTCCAGAAACTGATTTTAAGGCACATGGTTTTCTGAAATCCTTTCTAAGCAGTGTTGTTTCTATTGGATTAGACCGAATTGAGACTCACTGACAGTAAACATTTTACTTCAAACAAAGAACCTGCACCCATTAAAAAAAGTAAAATCATTTACATATTCGGGAATTGATTTTTGGCCAATAACTGATACATGCAAGTTCTGGATATTCTTTGCAATGTAAAGGGAAATCAAGGGAAATGTTAAGGGGAGATGTGCTGGACACATACTCTTCTGAAACAGATGAAGGTGCATGACAAATACGTCTACAAAAATACCTGCTTTAATCTGTGTATGTGTGGCGCAGCCAGCAAGCACAGTGGGCAGTTGTTTTAAGTAACTATCTGAAAAGGCAAAGAAAATCATGTGATTTCTATTGAATGCAGTGGCCTCCACGAATTAATATCTCGCTTATTTAGAGTTATGCTTTTTTTAATGTACTTTTATCTGTTTCATCTTTTAAAAGTCCACAAAGTGTTTCCTTAGAGCTGTCCACACTTTGGCAACCATGAGTTAGACCAATGAGTGAAAAATACATTTGCCTTAGTAAACTTACTGATGGATGAGAAAGTAGATTGACCAGAGAGGACTCTGTCCTCTGACCAAAGCCAGCTGATGTATTATGTGCACTATAAAAATCAGTGGGGTGAGCAAGTACATAGTGGCTCTGCAATACAAGGCAGTTTCATACTAACCAAGTTCTTGTTATGTCCAGATGGTCTTGTCTTTCATGCAACTTTCAGGAAAAAAAGAAAAGGAAAAAAAGCTGTGATTTCCTTTGAAAAAGAAAACGAATGTTTGTGTGGTGATGAAAATGAGACACATTGTGTTCTTTCTACTTTAGAATATAAATACATCTCTTTTTCCCCCTTTTATACATTGTTAACAGATTTTTCCATATGAAATGCTCATGGTGACCAACAGAGGGCGAAATAAAATACTAAAAGATGTAGACAGAACCAGGCTTGAGGTAAGAGAAGCAAGTTCCTAAATGCTCTTTCCTGCTGAAGTTGTTTGTTGTTGCACACTTGAAAGCTCAAACACTGAAGTGTGGGTCCTTGTTAGATTGGGAAGATTTCTCAGCACTAAGCAGGGGAGTCAGATGGGGAGGAAGCAGCCCGATGTCCATGAACAATGTGGACCAGGAGTCCCACATCTCTGTCTCCCTGCTCATGGACTTGGCTTCTCAGAGCCCTTTTATGTTTTCAGGCAGATAACTATATACTTGTAAACTGGTAAAGAGCCCAAAATTGGTGAAGTGTTTTGTAGTCTCAGGATCCATATTGGAATGGAGCAATATTTTGTTTGATCTTGGATCCTCTCTTAGCTAAGACTCAGTGTCAGCCATCCTTAAGGATCGAAAGTCTAACTTTCTTTACCTCATCCATGAGTCCTGTGAGTTAGACTGGCTGATATCCAAAAACATGAGGATTCGAATCTCTGCCAACAAATAAATATTGTTTACAACTTTGTGGATTAGAAAGATTTAAGCAGCTCGGTGAAAGTCTGGGGATGTTTAAGTCATTTATAGTCAGTTAATCTTCTGTGGAAATGAATGGAAGGGGCCACAAAAGTTTGGGTAAATAGCCATTTGTGCACATTTTTAGACTAGTAGATACATGATTGCTAATCAGAATTCAACGCTGTGTTACATCAGTGCCACAGGGAGACACTTTCCCATCCAGTGCACTCTAAAGTGGCTGAACAAGAAGTAACTTGTGCACAAGACAGCAGCAAAAAATGTTTCATTGGCAGTAGAGAAGTGTGCTGGACAGTTAGTCTGGCCAGACATCTTCCTTCTCAGAACTTCAAAGGTAGCCTGTCAGCCTGCAGCCCTTCCGCAAAGCTCTCCTGAAGCCCAGTGTCTCTGTGAACTTCCATGTGTAAGCAGAGGTGACGAGCAAAAGCCTGGGACGGGGGTGTGCAGGAGCTGGTTTTGTTCTCTGGTCTATCGCTGCTTATTGGGTGACTTCAGACAAATCACTTTTCTGTCTCCTGCTTATTCAGCAACTGAAATTGTTCTCCCGCTTTCCTTGTAAACTTCTAACACTTAAGAAATTGCAAAATTTTGTTGATTGAGCATCCGGATTCTAGAGGACTTGGATATGTGTATTGCCAAAATGCTATTAATGCCTACAATGGCTCTTACACAGTGACATGAAATCCCTAAGGCACTCCTGTCTCCTGTTGTGACTCTGGCTTTGACTGACCATTGCCTTTTCTCCTTTTTTTTTTTTTTTTTTTTTCCTAAAGCGTCACTTAGCACCTGAGGTTTTTCAAGAAATATTTGGCATGACAATACAGGAGTTTGACAAGTTACCTCTCTGGAGACGCAACGACATGAAGAAAAAAGCAAAACTCTTTTAATCTCCCTTTAAACAAACCAACAACAAATGACGCCTAGGGTATTGTGTCATACACTCCAAACTATTTGGAAGCGACTACTTATCCACCAAAAAGGGAAAACCATATAGTGGCACCTCTGTACACAGCAATTGAACAAGATGAACATTTGACCTCCTGGAACATAGGGAGAAAAATATCTGGGCTCAGAAACAACAATGATAGTTGTCAGAGGTGTCGACTTGGTACATGATATTATACAAGATAGGAAACTGTTCTGTTCTTCTCCCTCAATGATACTCCCTTTACTTCTCTCCACAATATGATGGACTTTATTGCTAGAGCCAGGAAGTGCCCTTAGGATGCCTTGTAGACTAAAGTAGTTGTAACCACTCCAAGAACTGGAAAAGAATATA